GGGTGGTGATGACTAGCTGCCTTCCCTCTAGTCTTACACTGCTAAATTAGGGAAGGCTAGCGCAGATAGCCCTCGTGTAGCTTTGCGCGAAATTCAAAAACAAATCATTCTGTTTACAAAAGTATTCATGTATTCAAGTATCCAGTTTAATATGAAGTGGGAGCAGAAACACATTTTTTTAGGACTCACCAAGGTTAATACTCTGTTTCACTGGTATTTAATTCTCTCTCACTGGCTATTCCTTCTTTTTGAAATGATTTTTATCATCTGGCTGTCCCAGAGACACAAAAAGCAACAATGTTTGGTATACCCACTCTGCAGGCCTAGCAGGAGTGCAATAATTTTTAGACCATTTCATATGTTCCACCTATGATTATCATATTTGATGGCCTCAAATATAATCTGCATGCTTTGATAAGTTTCTTTCATGTTAACAGCATGAGCAACAGAAATCGATAGCTTAGTGTTCCCATTGTGAAAAAGTACAGCTTTCAGACTAACTTTAGATGAGTCAATAAAAAGTCTTCATTCTTGAGGATGATGTTCAGTACTTAATTCTTCCATGAGTGCATCAACATTTGTACAGAAACACAAAATACCTTGTATGTTGTAGTGAGAAGCAAGACTTTGATGGTGATTTCAATAAATTGAAACTCTTGTTCGTGGAGCTAATAAATTCCATTGCTGTAAACGAGAGCCAAGAAGTTCCTCCTGCTTCTTTGATAGAAACAAGTTACAAATAAGATCATTTAACTCTTCTTGTGTGATTAGATAGGCAGTTTATGTTGATGTGCCACAGGATGAAGATGGTTCATTGTCTTTTTCTCAGAATAACTCTTTTGTTTCTCAAATTGCTGGTGGATATGGCACTGGAAGCCCATCTCCATGAGGTACTAGTTTCATTGCAGATGCAATGTCTGGATACTTAATGTATTGTTTAATGTTGCCTGAATATCCAGAAACATTAGTCATGCAAAAATAACTGTCAGTTAGATGATCTTAGGACTCATGCCATATTATGGGAACTGCAATTGATATACATGCTCTGTTCTTATTCAGCCACTGTGACAAGATGGTGTGCAAACTATACAACACACATGTGGAGACCAATGTTTTTCTTGGTCACCAATTTTTACAATTGAGGTAGTAAGCTACCTCTACCTTGTGTGTGACGTATTTTCTTTGTTAAACTGTAATATATTTTCCACAAATGTAGCAAACTGTTTGGGTGATTTTTATACTTTCAGACTTTACTTAAACTGGAGGCAGCTAGCATTTCAAATGATTTTCTAAATAAATATAAAAATTTATGTTTATAGAACT